TTTCCCTGAGCCTGATGAAGGGCACCATGAGCCCAAAAGTTTGCAGAAAAAGTTTTTTTTTTTTTCAATTTCTCAGTTGGTCTAATAAGAGGTATCATTTTGGAACCAAGAGTTCTAGATTTTTGCATTTCTTTTTGTCTCAGACCAACACAGCTACCACATACATCCCAGAGACACAGATGAACAGCACCAGATGTGCTGGTTGCTCCAACTATTAAGGGTTTTGATGCTTCCACTAATTTAATTTTCTGCTGCATTGACGTAGCCAGGTGCCTTTTGCTTGCTGCATAGCTAGCACGTATGATATTTACAAAAGGTGGAGCCATTGTGATGTGCATGATTCTGTTTTATGGAGTGGAAATATTTAGAAAGTAGGATGGTGTTCTGAAGATGGCCTGTCCTTCATATGTCGAAATGTAAATAACATTATCAAACATAAGTTGTTTCCTTTTATCCCACCCATGTTTATCTGTTCCTTTGCACGCAGTTGGCAATATAGTGTCTTGCTCTTCAAGCAAGTCTAGAGAACCCTTATATGAATCACAGGAATTGAAGTTCTTATTCCAACAAGGAATTTGAACCATAAGGCCTTATTTTGATCACCTTTACCCTGGTGTCTATTGGAAGTGGCTCTGTTGAGGTCAATAAGAATATTGACAGTAGAAAAGCAGCTAGGTGGGAGAATTGTGCTCATGTCCTTTACACCATATTCTCCTACAGTTTTGTTTCTTGGCCACTTGAAGTCCCGTTGCAAAGATCTCCCCAAATTCTGTCTTGTCAGACAGACTACATCATCTGCAAATTTTGTGACCTTTGTTTCCCTAGAACAGTCATTCTCAACCAGGGTGCCCTGAGATCCTTTCAAGGGTGCTATGGGGTGCCACACAATGTTAGCACTGCTTGCAAGTCTGCAAGCCATTTTTTTAAATGCTGCCATGGATTTGTCTGCAACTTCAGGTACCTAAGTACCTGGTGAAGCATGGCCCTTCATGGTTAAGATGAGTAGTCAGAAACAGAACTGGCACTAAGTAGAACCCCCCTGCAACGTTAACTGCTGTGAGGAACTGTACCTTCAAGCCACTCTTGCACAAGTTGGCTGGAGGTTGCTGTTGTGTCATTGTGGCAGGGCACCTTTGGTGCCTGCCACTTTAAGAGGCTTGAACAGACTGTGGAGCAGCTGGCAGGTGTGATGCGGCTTAACGAGGCAGTCACATGACTGCAAGAGGGCTTCGGAATTGGAGGATGCGACTGGGCAGCCTCAATATAAACCCAGGCCTTCTGGGCAGTTGCTACAGGGAGCTAGAGGGATAACATCCCCTGGCTGGTGGTGCTCCCAGAACTCCTGGTGGCTCTGGTAGGAGCTATGGGGATGGAGGAGGTTCCTGGTCCTGGGGAATGACCGAAAACTATACCCTGCTGTGGTAGGATGGTATGGTGGGGCTGCTTGTGGCCCCAGGAAATGCTATACCAGTGCCTCCCTACTGAAAAGCGAGGATGGGGCACCGTATAGCCTCAGCCCCCACAATCTGGTGGATTACCCAGTAGAGGGGGCAGGCGAGGGGTCCAGGCACGTCATCAGACCTGAGACCCAAGGGGCGTAATGCCGAGAGCCCCAGTGAGGGGGCGGAGTAGTGGACCCAGTGTCACAGTTATACAAAGGCTCATGTTCTGCATAGTGACCAGTCAGAACTGGGAAACCAAATGAAGCAGACCTCTAGGTTGCTTGGCTTTGCATTGTTCAGTAATCACTCAACGAGGAGAAATGTTGTACACTCTCTCTAGCCTGTTTCATTTAAGGACAGACATCCATGGGCTACATAAGCCACAGGTCTTCCTTAGATTTCCCCTTTGATCCCACACTGCTGCATTCTTATTTTAGTGACCTGTGCTACGCTATTCCTTACGCTACTGCTGTTCTTGAGGTTCCAGTAACTCTGTTGGCTTTAGGTGAGTCACTCCTGGTTTATATCGATCAATGTGAGCTTGGAAGTGGGCCCTATTCTCTTTTTATTTTGCATTTCTGAAAAAAAACCTGTTTACTTAAAGGAAATCAAGCAGGTGTGAGCCTGCTATGGGTTGGCGTAGTTGTTTTCTAAATGCAGCTTTCTGCAAGTCTTCTTTTTGCACAGATGCTTTGTGTAGAGTATGGTCTTGATACAGAGGATACTGCTTGTATGGGAACACTTATGTGGTTTTATCATATTTATTCTGTCCCCAAACCTTTGAAAATGAATAATTGATATGTGTTACAAAATATATGCTTTCTGAGAGGCTGTCGAAAATGTTTTCTTTTTTCCATATCCAAAAATATCAACTCAACTTACAAAGAAAATGGATACTCTAGTTCTTATTCTTATAGTGAATTGGAAAATTTCAAAATTCCATAAATACACTTTTCTTGCTCCTGTTTGGTTCCATGTAGCTCATTTGAACAAAGTGTTCACTGACTCTATCAGCTTTTTCTGACCTTTTGTATGAATACACCATATTCCAAAAAGCTTAAATGATTACACACAAACTATAGTCTTGGCATTAAATAATAAAAGACAGGAAAAATACCAAGTGAGTACTTGCAGTGACTATAATTTATTCTTCCTTTTTTATTTGCCCATACTTTTCATGTCTTCTTGTTCATGTCAATTAATTGTCTACATTTCTTATTAAATTGGTTAATTTTACTGTGAGAATCTTTTCAGTCTTAGACTTTTCTTTCCTCATTCGGAATCCTATTTGCAATGTTATCTAGTCCAGTCTATTAAAGGAATAGATCATGGCAGGCATTTTCAAAAAGCTTTTTTCTTCTTCTATGCTTCACTGGCTAATTAAAGAGGTGGTTGCTAAGAGATGAGAGAAGGCATCGTTGAGAGCCTGTGATGTACTCTTTTTCTTACCTTTGATGTACAGGTTTTGGATCAGAGTTTGAGAGTGAATGGGATGGCGACATCCTAAACTACTTCTGTGACCAGACCTGCAAGGGACAGAATGGAGGGAGACTGTGCTGGTCCTCAGCCACCAGGCAATGTGGACTGGAGTGGTACAGGAGGCCAAGACCCAGGACAACTAGATATGTTGGAGAAAGCACATGAGTTCTTTCAGACTTGTGATGTGGAGGGCAAAGGCTTCATCACTCGTCATGACATGCAGGTAAAGCAAAGCTGGCTGAGTAAAATTATGCAATGCAAAATTCCTAGGCTCTTAAAAGAGTTAATAAGGTGATATCTGGTAATTTAAAAACTTAAGAAAAGATAAGCTAAAGAATAAGATATGTAATGTAAAAAGAATAATAATAATGTTGCGGAACTAAGGCGTGAATTTTTATACTTTTCCCCCATACAAACCAGCAATTAAAAGGGAAATGGAAAGAAAATATACTGTTTAAAAAATTCAAGGGAACTGAGACACTTTTGACTTAAAATGGGACATCTCCATCTCCTTCAGTGGAATTACTTATACTATACCCCAGAATCAGGAAAATATTTTGTTCATCTATTTTTTCATACACTTGTTTTTTTTTAACAAATCACCTAAACCCAAACTATTCGTTTTGCTTTTCCATCACCATTGTACCCTACTTAGTACAAACAAATAACATTACGTTGCTTAAGTCCATGGATACTAGTGTTAAACAAATGTTTTGTTGAAATATTTTTAAATTTAAGGGACCCGACCCTGATCTTTTTAAAGTACACGGCAAAAGTGTATCGTACTCCACTGAGAACAGGATCAGGCCCATATTGTAGAGTTACTTGTTAAGATGGATGTTCAATCCATAATTTTAAGGAAACTAGCATCCTGTGTAGTGGATTTTTTCAGTAGTTTACAACTGCCATGCAGAGTATTGCTTGGGTGTATTAATCAGTTTTTACTTTAGTGCTAATGGATGACAAAAAATGAAAGTATCAGTTCATCTCCAAAGTCTTAAGAGCTAAAATGGCTTAAACAAAATTTTAGGAACACTTCAAATCTTCAAGCTCAAAGGTGTTTAATGTGCCATACTTTCCAATGCACAGGACTTGCCTGTGTATAAAACACACTTCTCAAAAAAGGAACATAAAATTGGTGAAAGAGAGGTTTTTCGTATAAATTTGATTTGAATTTTGGTCCAATTTTATTACAGTGATTCAGTAATATTTGTAATACAAGATGCACTTTAATTTTAGGCTTACAGTTTCATGGGAAAAATGCATCTTCTACACAGGGAAAATATGAAAACAATAACAAAAATCCAATTAAAACAATACATATTATATAAAAACCAAAAATTGATGCTAACATACTTGACTTATTGCTAACTGCAGTTTTTTTGTTGCAGGCCAGTGTCCTTATGGATTTTTTACTTACCTGTTTTACTTACAGCTAGTGGAAATGTTAGAGCAGCGCTGTAGTTCTGATTACCCTCTGTATGTTCTCCCACTGGAGAAATTGAGCTCATAATAGAACTTTGTGGGATTGCACCCTTAGGCAGTTTCTTCGATCATCATCCTATTTTACTGTAGTATAAGAAGTAAATATAATTGAATCTGTAATACACGTGAGGCTTTTCTTGTTTTTGAGTTTTACTAGTTGGTATCTGCATGGACATTTTAAGAGAGATTTATTTCCATTCAATTCTGTGTTTTTTTCTGAAAGGGAAAGCAGACCCCTGAGCTTGTAAGCTTTGGAAAGGGGTGATGCAAACCCTGTTTGAATTGCAAAGAGAAGAATGCAATATTTTTCTTTGATTTCACAATGTGAGTTACTGTTTCAGGGTGGTTTAGCAGTTTGAGCTTTCTCTGCGAGTAAATGTCCAATGTTAAAAGTAGAAAGAAAAAGTTTTGGGATTCAGTAACCTGAGAACACTTGAAATGGTGTTGCTTTATGCTACCTTTTGTTTCCAGCTAAGATGATTAAACATTATATTTCAAAAACAACCCTCTTGCAAATACTGGGCTGATGCTCCCCTCTCTTAACATCTGAGTAAATCGAGAGCAATTCTACCCATAACAGTGTAGTTACACAGATGTAAAAACAAGGAGGGATTAGTTTCTTTCCCTCCTTTTGTATTTTATTTTGTATTCTATCTGAAATGAAATGTTAAGCATTAAAAATATACAAGGCCTAGGAAACTATAAAGTAGTGGTTCCAGCAACAGTATTAACTGAGACCCTTCAGTGAGCCTGGCCTGAAGTCAGAAGTAGTTTCTGAACATCCCATCCAAATGTACAGAGTGGGTGTAGTCTGCTGATCATTTATAGATTCAGACCAGGGGAACTTTGCTGTCATTAATTAGGATCTCATTAAAGTCAACAGAACACAGATTTTTACCATATGTCCAAACCTGCGGGTCAGTTTGTGATCATGTTTGTATACTCGGTAATTCCCAAAACTTTTTTCTTTGATTTCAGTGATGTTACTACATACTAAGCCATAAGTGGGCTCAAAACCTCTCCCTATACTTAAACCTGTTGCTCAATGCACATAGCCATATTAAGTGAAAGACCTCTAATGCTCAGAGAGTAGCACTTCTATTTTTCTGAAATTAAGTAGAAAGGAGTTCACTTAATTAACTTACCCAGGATCACTCCCATGGTAGCTATTGGAATTTGACAGAATAATGATATTTTCTCCCTTGTTCTGAGCAGTTAGCCAAAATTGGGTGCCTTGCAGGGTTGTGTGTAAGTGAGACACTGCGCATGAGTCAAGCATGTTTTGAGGGCTTGTTCTGATGTATTTGCCCACAGTGTGAACAAGGATTTCCTAAGCACAGTGGAAACAAGCAATTGCAGGCAATTTCCTTCCTCTGGAATCTGGTGTTCCACTCCAGAGTTGTCTGGGCCCAGGTAGTTCTGTCTCTGTGCTGCTGCTATTGCTTATGGCCATTTTTACTGTGCTGGCTCAATCTCTCCTCCCTTCACAGCCCATAGTGAATATTCTAGCCCAGCACTTCTCAACCCATGGGTTGCAACCCAAAAGTGGGTCGCAAAAATATGTGAGAGGGTTGCAAACAAAACTGGATTAACAAACTTTAAAAATAGATTTTCCTTTTAGAGGAGAAAAACTTTGGGAAAACTGGCTTTTCACTTGCAGGCTGGCAGAGTTCCAGCCTGCAAGGGGCTTATAGAGGCTGCTTGGGCCCTCCCCTGCCCCACACACCCACCCCCTGCCCCCCGCACACTGGGGGGGTGAGGGGCTGGGGGCTAGGGTTGGGGGTGTGGTCATAGGGTCGGGAGTGAGGGGCACTGGGTTGGCATTGGCTATCGATGTTTACATATGGGTCCTGGTACAAAAAATGTTGAGAACCACTATTCTAGCCAATGTATTTGCAGCCAGGGAAGCCCTTGTGAATGCAACAGATTCACGTTTCCCTCTGCTAATGTCTGGACAATTATCCTTATTTTCTTCTATTGAGGACATTGTTCTGCATTTCTGTGGAGTCTTTTTATATGAATAACAGAAAGTCATTTGAACAGTTAGGGAGAGATTTTGGCTTTTGTTTTTGTGCCTGTATTTACTTAGGAGGCAAGTTCTGATCTGGCAGGTGATCCTGTAAAAATGGTTTGGTGAGGTTCCATTGGTATTTGTCTCTGACAGTGCATGTCTCCTCCCTTCAAAGGTGTGACTGTGAGTCATACAGACTCACCTGAGTTAGCTTTATATGAGCTGGCTCAGGTACAAGTAATGGTGTGGCCACAGGAGCACCAGTGTTATGCTGTAGACTACAAGACCTGCTGAAGACCCTGACCAGGTTATCTAGTCTCCACTGAACACCATACACATGCTCCAAGCTAGCTTTTACATGAGCTGCAGCCATGTCTGTGGACTGCAGTGTAGGCATACTCTTAATGATTCCAGGGTGGGAACTCCAAGCAAAATGCTTACTTGTTTTTTCCAGAAGAGCACCTTAAACACCATGCTTTAGGATATACTGAGGTAACTCATAGTCTCTTGTATTTACACTTTTTCCCCATAGGTGGAATCCATAAATATTTATTGAGCCAGACAGAGCATGAGACTGTATGTTAGTAGGGAGGGTGCTTGTGACTGTTCTAGTGTACAGGCATTTAAGTATTTAATGGGCAGCACATCTACACAAAATGCTGACTGCACAGTAGTAACAAGCTACTACACAGTCAGCATCACCTAAAAGCCATTCAGCGATGCTGCTGCACAGTAATGCTGGTTACTACGCAGTCACTTAGTACTTGTTTATATGAGTACTAAATGACTCTGCAGGTAATGATTGCGCAGTCAGTGTCTCATGTAGGTTCAGCAACTATGTATTTAAGCATTTAATATGAAGTGGAACATTAACAGGAAAGATTGAGGGTCATGCACCCTCCTCCCTACAGGTAACCTGTTGACCTAGTGATTAGGGAGGACACTTCCTTTTGTTGCTGACATGTATTCATATCCCCTCTCAGGCATGGGAAAGTTTTGAGCCTGAGTCTCCTGCTTCCTTGTTGAGTGCCCTAATTGCTGAACTGTTGCATAAAAAGGACTGCTGCTTCCTCCCCTTGCAGTCTTGTGAATTGTAGCCTTTGGTGTTATTGTTATAACTGCCCCAAACTGAAATGCTTAGACAGTTCTGATGTGATCTGGTTTATTACGATGAACAGACCTTTCATCAGACAATTTTTTTGTTTGTTTTTCATTTCATTGAGAAAAATGGGAAAACATATTTCAGGATTGTTGTTGTTATTATCGATGTTGTTTTTGATGTTATTCTTTCATTGCTGCTGCTACTGCTGCTGCTCTTTTCAGTTTGTTGGCTAATCTGAAAAATCAGTTAGTGATATGGCTCTAGTAATGAAACAGCTTGATCTTGTCCCATGGGAGACAAATTGAAGAAGAAAACAAGATGTTTCACTTTACAAATTAAAGTAGCAACTGCTGTGTTAATACATTTAGAAATAAGATAAAATAATAACATTGAAAAATATATCATTAGATTCAAACAACATACAAGGCAGGCAAGGTTATTTGGGTAGATGTGATATCTTTGATTAGACCAACCAGATAGTTAGGCATTGGGAGACTCTGCATATAAAGTTAAAAAGGATCAAATCAGATGATATAAAATAAACATGAAATACAAACAAATTTAAAAATAAAATAAAATGACAGACCATTAAAGAGCAATAATAATTAAATAAAAAATAAAAATGTCAAAACTGACTTGTTTAATTTTTGACATTTTCAAGATTTTTCCAGAATTCTGATTTCACAGAATGTTTTGAAAATTCAACTGTTTCAAATGATGAAAGGATGAAAAAAGTAATTTAATAATATCCCATGAAATGGAAGTTGTGAATGTTGGCCAGTTTTAATAATGGCACTGTGGCAGGGAGCCATTCCTGGACCTGTCCGATGTTGGCCCGACCCTCTGTTTTCTGTACTAACCATCCAGCTTTCTTTCCTGCCATGCCTTGATGGAAAAAATAATTATGATGCTACTCAAGCAGGAGGCTGCCCACTTACTACCCCAACACCAGGGATTTCTATGCACCACTCCAAAACTTCCCTACATAGTGGCCCATGCCTCGCAGATAGTATGTAAAGAATATCACCTTTCATTCTTATTTGGCCTTGCATGGCCTCTTGTCCCCCTCTAACATTGGGCTCTCTGCAGCCCTACCTCTGAGCCCTCTCTGGCGTAGAGTAATCTACAATCCTATCTCTGCACCCTCCCTGGCACAGTGCTCTCTGTAGCCCTATCTCTGTGCCCTCTCTGGTGCTGGGGTATACACCACAGTGTGCCCCTACGAGGCCTGTTCCTCCCCAGTTAGCCCCATCCCAGTCCACCAGATTAAAATACAGCAACAAAAAAAATGAGCCCCCAGGCTATAACATAACACAACAATCCAATTCTCACTTTCTCTCAAAAAAAACCCTAAACTTCCCCCTTAGCATCGAGTGCCTTCTCAACCCTAAATACTTTCAGGGTTTCTAGAGGCCTAATATTCCATACAGGCAGCAAAACAGGCAACCAAACATCTGCATGAAACTTGTCTGCTCGAGCTTCTTCACTCCTGGCTGCAGCCAGAGGACTGATTGCTGCCAGCCTCAGCCCTGGACCTTATATGTGCCCAGAGCCCTATCTCCTTCCAGTCAGCTGACCGGCCTGTGTGGCTGGGCTTTTAGCCCCTGCCCTTCTGGTACTTGGTGTTTCTAAAGACTCTGGTCTTAAAGGGGCCACCCTGCCTCCTAGTAACAGGGCTAGGGTTCCCTGTTACAGGGACCAATCCTCATGATAATTTTTAGAGTTATAATTTGTGTTGGTTTAATCTTGAGACTTGAACTGTTTCATGTAAGGATGTCAACAACTGTGCCAAGTTGGCATAGAGAAAGCAGAGGAGTTTAGGCTAGGAGATGTAAAGGGAACCAACAGCAATCATATTTTTCTAAAGATTTGGTTTACCTCATCAAAATTAGTTTTCTGTGGGGGTAGTTCCCCCTTCTAAGTTTAAAGTAATCTGCAATTGATACATAGAAGCCCGTCAGAGAAGAATAATGCATTAATGAAACTTTGTTTTTCATACTCAAAAGAAAATGCCAAGAAGAAAGATAATGTGGAAAAACTGAAACATTTTATGTGAGAAACTTCTCCAGGTATTAACCTATTGTTCTGAATTATTGGGGTTCTTGTTCTCCAGATTCTTCTCTAACGCTTTTTGTAATGCATGGTGTACCTGAGGCATGGTTTCTCATTTCAGAGACTTCATGGGGAGTTGCCTCTTAGTCTAGAAGAGCTGGAGAAAGTTTTTGATACCCTGGATGCTGATGGCAATGGTTCACTTACCCCGGAGGAGTTCACTACAGGATTCAGTGAGTTTTGGAATGCAGATCCTTTTAAAGCTCTATGTGCTTTGTAAAGCTGTAATGCTTGGTACTTCACAGAGATAAGGAGACAATGTTCATAGTCTGAGGACCTTCTAGCTTAGTTCTGAGGCATGGCCAAAATATCTTGAGACTGATGCAAAGCATGCCAAGCATCATGTAAAAAATAGCTGGCTTGGCTACTGAAAGAAGTATAGCTGCGGCAGCACTAAGCTTGGTGCAGGCCTGTTTTACTCTGTAGAGAAGGTACTTCTGTGACTGCAATATCAGCATACCCTGACCATAGTTCTGATCTGCCTTTATTAAAATATGTCCCTTATTTTCCTCAGACACAGGTGTAGCAGTGGGTGTAGTCTGTCTGGACTTTAGGAAGGCCTTTGACACTGTCTCTCACCCCATTCTCAGTTAAAAAAAGAAACTAGGGGACTGTGGTGTCGACACCTACACAGTCAAATGGGTCACTAGTTGGCTGGAGGGCCGCACCCAGTGAGTGGTGGTGGATGGGTCTTATTCGACCTGTAGGGATGTGGGCAGTGGGGTCCCCCAGAGCTCAGTCCTTGGGCCCGCACTGTTCAACATCTTCATCAGCGACTTGCACGAGGGGGTAAAAAGCACCCTGTTCAAATTCGCAGATGACACTAAGATGTGGGGGGAGGTGGGCATGCTAGAAGGGAGGAATAGGCTGCAATCAGACCTAGAAAGATTACAGGGGTGGGCGGATGAGAACAGGATGGGTTTCAACACAGACAAGTGCAAGGTGATACACCTGGGGAGGAAGCACCAGCACCATACCTACAGGCTGGGGAACACCCCTCTCGTCAGTGCAGAGGCAGAAAAGGATCTTGGAGTCATCATTGATGCCAAAATGAACATGGGCCGACAGTGCGGGGACGCGGTCAGGAAGGCCAACCGTACCTTGTCATGCATCCACAGATGCATCTCAAACAGGTCCAAGGAGGTGATCCTCCCCCTCTATGCAACACTGGTCAGGCCACAGTTGGAGTACTGCATCCAGTTTTGGGCGCTGCACTTCAAGAGGGATGTGGACAACATGGAGAGGGTCCAGAGGAGGGCCACTCGCATGATTAGGGGGCAGCAGGGCAGGCCCTACGAGGAGAGGCTACAGGACCTGAACCTGTTTAGTCTCCACAAGAGAAGGCTGAGGGGGGGATCTAGTGGTCTGTTACAAACTAGTCAGAGGGGACCAGCAGGCAATGGGGGAGTCCCTGTTCCCCCGAGTGTTACCAGGAAATAACCGTCGTAAGCTGGCAAAGGGTAGATTCAGACTAGACATCAGGAGGCGCTACTTCACAGTCAGGGTGGCTAGGATCTGGAACCAACTTCCAAGCGAAGTGGTGCTGGCTTCTACCCTGGGGGTCTTTAAGAGGAGGCTGGATGAGCACCTTGCTGGGGTCGTTTGACCCCAGTACTCTTTCCTGCCATGGCGGGGGCGCGGACTTGATGATGTGCTCAGGTCCCTTCCGACCCTACCAACTATGAAACTATAAAACAATTGCGTTCTGGCAGACTTCTAGGCAGGTACCCAAAATAGGTTTCACCATAAAAGCTATCAAAAAAAAGGAACTCAGAGAATATTTTTAAAGTACACTTATCATAGAATCATAGAAGTCGGATCGGGAGGGACCTTGTAGGTCTTCAAGTCCGACTCCCTGCCTGGGCAGGAGAAAAAACTGGGCT